CACACACACACACACACACACACGTGCGCGCATGCGCGCGCGCGGAAAAAAAAAACTTGATAGAAAAATTTCATGTTCTCTTTTTTTAATGTTTTTTATTATTATTATAAAGAAATTTTCTGTTCACTTTACATACCAATCACTGACTCCCCCTCTCTTTCTTCTTCCCCACCCCCGCCTTACCCCCACAACCCACATTCCCCAAGTCAAAGTCTCCCATGCCGAGTCAGCAGAGCCTGGTACATTCAGTTGAGGCAGGTCCAAACCCTCCCCGCTGCACCAAGGCTGTGTAAGGTAGCCCACCCTAGGCACTGGGCTCCAAAAAGCTGGCTCATGCACCAAGGATGGATCCTGATCCTGCTGCTGGGGCGGGGAGGCGAACAGTTCAAGCTAAACAACTGTCTCCCGTATCCAGAGGGCCTATTCTAGTCCTGTGGGGACTCCACAGCTATTAGTCCACAGTTCATGGGTTTTCACTAGTGTGGCTGGTCATCTCTGCACGTTTTCCCATCATGACCTCTACAGCCTCTGCCCACAGAATCCCTCCTCTCTCTCATTGATTCGATTCCTGGAGCTCAGCCTGGCTCCCGGCCATGGGTCTCTGCATCTGCCTCCATCAGTCACTGGATGAAGGCTCTATGATGGCAGTTAGGGTAGTCACTAGTCGGTCACCAGAGTAGACCAGTCTAGGCACCCTCTCAAGTCCAAGTGGATCAAAGACCTCAACATAAATCCATTTACACTGAACTTCATGTTCTCTTAAAACAGAAAAAATAACAATGGGTGAATGGATCGGTATAGAAGTACATTAGAATTCTAAATTCTTTTAGAGTGAAAAAAGAGCACATTTGTTTCATAAAACTTAACTGGTTTGTGGCAGTTGATACAGGTCAATGCATGTCATATATTTTAAGTTTTTATTACAGTCATGTCCTTTTGGCTGGAAGCAATAAAATTATTTCCCACATGGCATTTCTCCCCACTTCCCTGTGAAAGCTAGATTATTTATGAAGCTGTGGCTTAGCAACAAAGGAAAGAAAAACTGTCCTTTCTGACGTCCAGTGAAGCAGGGTGCATGAAGAAGTTGGTGCCCGTGTCTACACCGGCTCAGCTGGGAGGGGGTGCCCATGTCTACACTGGCTCATCTGGAACACCACTATGTCTCAGAGCAAATGCACTACCTCCTTGTAACTTGAGTCTCACATTCACGACATTTAGGGCTAAGTCACGACCCATACTATTCTTTATTTTCCTCATTCTGTGGAAGCAGAGTTTCCCATCTTACTGCACCCCTTGGCTATGAAATCGCCAGGACTGCTGAATGGGATGCACTGGTGCGTTTTACTGCAGCCAGTTGACTCTTGTTTTTATTGTTTATCTCTTTCCAGATAGAAACATTATTTGTCCAACTTTGTAAGAAGCCAGTGAAAGGATGCAGTTTGTAAGCCATTGATCTTCATGCCTTTCTAAGGCTCCAAACACAGGATGTTGGTGGTTTCCTGGAATTATTTCTATCTTAGAATAGAAATTTTACGTACATTTTCATACCTGTGTTAAACTCAATTCATAATTTAATAGGCTTAATTTGATAATTTAATATTCATATTTGTCTATAGAAAATCTTGCTTTAATGTTTTAGAGCCAAACTGCTCAATTAAATATATACTTGGTAAACTTCCATTTGAAAACATAACCTGACCAGGGAGATTATGCAAGAGCAAAGATCAACTCCAGTGAGTATCAGGTGGGCAGTGTATGAACATCTCAGCTTATTTAAAGTGAAAGCCTTCTTATTTTGTTTTAAACAAGTCACCAGAACACCAGACATAGTCATATTCAAAATGTGACTGTGACAGCCACATAATGGGTCATTATACAGACATTAAAATTATCTCTATGAAGAATTTTTAACAACATAGCAAATTGCTGCTTCCATAGTAACTGAGAAAATAGTGTTTTGTAGTTTGTTCTCAACTGAGAGGGTAAAAACATCAACATATCAACTGCAGTTTTCTCTAGATAATAGTACTTTTTAAAAAACATAATTTTTTATTGATTCTTTGGGAATTTCACATCATGCACTCCAATCCCACCCATCCCCCAGTCCCTCCGTATCCACCCCTCACCACTACAGTGTTCCCTGCAAAGAGAAACCCAAAAAGAAATAAAGTAAAACAAAACAAAGAAGACAAAAAATACAAACAAGAGCCAGACAATGGTGGTGTATGCCTTTAATCCCAGCAGTTGGGAGGCAGAGGCAGGCAGATCTCTGTGAGTTCGAGGCCAGCCTGGGTTACAGAGTGAGTTCCACGAAAGGTGCAAAGCTACACAGAGAAACCCTGTCTTGAAAAACCAAAAAACAAAAAAACAAAAAACAAAAAAAAACCAACCAACCAACAAACAAGAATATCAACCAAAAACAAATGTAAAAAAACAAACAACAATTAAAAAAGACTTTCCCCTCTTCCGTCCTTCCTGCCTCTCTATCACCTCTTCGTTCATCTTGATGGCACTGGGAGCTGCAGTGTGTAATGCAGTAGACAGACCGCTTTGTCCAAACAGCTGCACTTGCAAATGTTTATTGTGTAAGGTGGTGTTGGTCAGGTTCACAGCCTCCGGCCAATACACCGTCAGTTCTACATCTTGCTATTGCCCTGAGTCATGGAGATCCTGTGGCTGTGATTCCACAGGATAAGTCAGTCATGTGCTCCAGTAGGTCATAGCTGAGGTAGATGTTGGGATGCACCAACTCAAAGCCCTGAATATGGGCCTGGGTGGTAGCAGAGTTGGTCAGCCAGGGCCTCTGGGACCACTCCCCTCAGGTGAGGTACAGATCCAGCTCAGCATGGCCCTTGTATTTCAACACATGGTTCAACACATGGTTCACATGGGTCCCTGTGGTAACCTAGGCAATGGACATCGATATAGACCCCAGCTGCAGCAGGACCACGGACCCAGACATGGCCAGCAGCAGCAGCTTGGGCCTGATGACAGCCCAGCCCTCTCAGATCAGCATGGGGCCCAGCAGCAGCGTGGTTCCAGGACTCCACCATGGCCCCAGGTGGTGGCCCAGGCCCCCAGCAGTCCCATGGCCTTCAATGGTAACAGGAGCCATGGGCATCAACACAGCCCCTGACTGTGGCAGGACCATGGATCCAGACATTGCCTCCAGCCATAGCTTGGCCAGACATCACCATGCCCCTGGGTAGCAACATAGGCCACCCCAATCTGTGTGGTCCCAATAGCAGCATGACCCTCCAGCACCAACATGGCCTCAGGTTTCAGTCCTGACCCAAACCCAGACATGGGCTTCAGCTACAGCCTGGCCCGGACAATACCATGGCATGGGTGGCAGCACAGCCCACTCAGATCGGCATGGCCCTGGCAGCAGCACATCCTTCAGACCCCAACATGACCACAGATGGCTGCCTAGAGTCCAGGCACCCGTGTGGCCTTTGGTGGCAATGTGGGGGGTGGGGGAGCACACATATGGGCGGTGAATATCAACACAGACCCCCAGCTGTAGTAGGACCACAAACCTAGATGTGGCCCTCAGCAGCAGTCCAGGTCTGGATGTCACCATGGCCCCAGGTGGCAGTACAGGCCACTCAGATCAGCCTCGCCCTGGCTGCAGAGTGGCCCTAGGACACCAATATGGCCCCAGGTGGGGGCCCAGATCCACATGGCCTTCCATGGCAACAGGCATCATGTGGATATCAACACAGACCCTGGCTGTGGGCCACAGGATAATAGTTTTTTTTTTATGAAAACATTCTTTGCTCTGTTTTTACTTTTAAAAACTCAGCTAAATTTTTAAATAAAAATTTTAAGTCCAGATTACACTGTGCATCTTTTTTATGGTTGCAATTTTGAGTTCTCCAGTGCCTGTACTCATCAAGGAATGAGTCTACAAAAGGAAGACCCAGATGTCAAACTGCCTCCTTAACCGGAGGCCGCAGCAGCAGGCCCTGGCTCAGCTGTGAGAGTCCAGCAGTGTGAGTCATCCTTGAAAGAGTCACAACACAGAATAAAATGATAAAGACAAGAAAACAGGTCTCAGATCAATGAAAAACTACATACAGACTCTATCCCAAGATAAGAGTAGAGTGTTCAGTTCAGTCTAGACCTAGAAGTGATCTTGAATCTAGAGTTGATCACAGAACAGGCAGTTGTACTCATAGAAGTCATGAGCATGAAAGCACATGGTGGGTCTGGGAACTATTTTGATGTGTAGGACGTGCACAGAACGGAAGAGAACTTGAGGGCAGAGGTGAGGCTGGTGGCAAAAGAGCAACCACAGCTGTCATTGCAGGCCACCGGCAGCAGCTCAGGGCTTTGTCCTGTAAGTAACGAGAAGCCATGAGAGACTTGAAGATGCAGATTTACGTGAGCTTTGCAGTTTAGAAAGATTCCTCTGGTGTGGAGAGGGGAAGAGTGAGATGTCAGGACAGATTTCCGGTGGGCTGCTAAGCAGAGGCACAAGCGTGAGCGGTGACTGTGACAGGGTGATGGTCCCGCAGCCTGCCGGGTGTGCTGTGTGAAGGAGAGAGAACCCGGAGCAACGCTGGAGGAGGAGGCACTGGAGGGAAGCCAGGGTTGACGGCTTTAGTAGGGTGGACATTTTAAATCTATAAATTGAATCGTTCTCAGCTTTCTTTACTTTCCGCCTGTCTTCTATTTCATTCTTTTCTCTTTCCTTCTCTCCTCCTCCCTCCCTCCCCGCCTTCTTCCCCCTCTCCCTTCTTTCCCACACGTTCACTCAGTAAACTTACAAAGGAAGCCCTTCCTGTAACCAGGCCCCATCATGTTCTTGCTCAGTTCCTATGTGTCTTCTTCCATCATGGGAGAAAATCACTTTTACAACCACAACTAGCAAGTGTCTCTACTCAGGGAACAGCGAGAGCAGCAAAGACATGGAATGCTTAACTTCTTTTCATATTGCACTGAATAATACATGGTTTTCCTATTGGAACTACTACTAATGACCATTTTCTTTGTAGGTAGTGCCATAATTTCTGTTATATTTCTAAAAGAAAATTTGAGAGCCTCGGATTTACTAGGTGAGTGACCATTTAACGCATCTAATTATAGCACCTCTTGATCAATAAATAAATACTACCTATAAAATTATATACTTAAAATCAGAAAATTTAATGAAATGGTTGCAAATCTCATTTAGGGGTGAGCATTCTGTATGGGAGACACTGTCTCTTCTCATGTAAAGCTTTCATTTTCATTATGCTACTGCTAGTTATTGGCTATAGCAAATTGTTATTTTGCAGTATTACTGTTGCTTATGTTGTGGTGCTTTTATGAGCTTAATAAAATTCAGGAAAAACATCTGTGTTACCTGTTAGACTCTTCTACTTGAAAGTTCATATCTGCCATATCATTATATTTATACTGCCTAAAGGAAAAGTCACCAAGCATGCAGGCATGAGGACCTGAATCAGATCACAGGAAAGCCTAGCTTTGTGGCATGTCCGGAACCTCAGTGCTGAGGAGGCTGAGGAAGCAGAGAGGCTCTTGGAGACTTCCTGGATAGCCAGTCTAGCTGGATGGAAATCTCCGGGTTCAGTGAGATCCTGCCTTGAAAAGTAAAGGATTCCACACCTAAGGCTCAGGGAACATTGCAGAGAAGGAAGCAGAAAGATTGTAAGAGCCAGAGAATCAGGGAGTTTGCTGTGAGGTTGTGTCTCCTAGTACTGTCAGAAGCAACACACAGAAAGTCTCACCAACACGACCGCCTAAATATGAGCTGAACAAGACCATCAATAGACATGCCAAAGTGGACGGGAAAAGCCCACAAGGCCTCAACCCTACATAAAGAGCTACAGGCAACGAAGGAATGCTGAGAGCAGAACAGACTTCCCTGGGGAGGAGCACACCAACTAGTTATCCTATGCTAAATAGTCAGTCCTGAAAGTATACACGTGAGTGACATTGTACAGACGGAGCAGGCTATAGTTAGGAATATCTATGTGTATACTTATACATATGCAATAGCAAGTAATGAAAAAGAAGCCATGAATTTGAAAGAGAGCAAAGGGGAGTATATGGAAGGGTATGGAGGGAAGAAATGGGAGGAAGAAATGTTGTGACTGTATCATAATCTGAAAAATAAAAAATAGAGGAGACGGCCCTAGAGGAAGACAAGCAGAGTCGACCTTTGGTCCTCCACCGTGGGCCATCACAGGCATACACCATGCATAAATAAGCATTTTAAAAATAAAAACAGAGTAAGTTTCTTTCTTTGGGAATATGATTATTAATGGAAATTAACAGTGACATTACTGGTTATAATAAAGATTTCTATCATATAGCAAGGCACTCTCATATGCACTGTACCTTTTCACTTTTGTGGGAAGATCATTCATGAGAACTATAGATGCTCATGTCTTTTTCCTTGACCAAATCCGGCTTTATTTCTTCTGACATATGGTAATGAATACAGATACTTTAGGCACTTTAAACAAAACAATGTCTACCCTCTTCCAGGGAGTTTTGCTAATGTGAGCTCCGAATTTGACACCAGAGCTGGTATGTTTAACGTTTCTCTCCTGGCCCCTGATCCTGTTTCCCTCGAGCATAATGTCTTGAAAGTGTCTTCACTTTTTCCCTTCCTCTTTGGTTTCATTCTGCTGGTAGAGTTTTTAGTCAACATTGTCAGATTTTTCATGGTTAAAATGTTTTTCCAATTGCATTCATATGTGATTGTATCATTTCCAACATACTATTTTTATACATCCTTTTTTATATGTTGTGGTTTATGGGATCATTTGGGAAAGTCATATGAAATCAGCAATAAGAACAATCAATGCCTGGGTTTTAAAAGCGAAGTTAGGCTTCATATTATTTTTCATATTTGTCAAATGTCACAAAGAAACTTCAAATCCTTTCATCCAACACCTTCCATCTTTTGTAGTAATGGGTGGTTACTAACTAAATTCACCCAATTTAATAAGGTCATATAGATGGGTAATGGAGGATTTCCTGTCTCAACTACTACTGGTAAATTATCTTGATTAATAGAAATAAAAAGATAATTATGACTGAATTCTTGTTCCAGTTTTCTTTCTGTTACTTGATTAAGATATATATCCCAACAAAGCAACTTTAAGAGAGAGACAGTTTCCCTGGCTCATGATTCCAGGCCACCGTCTGTCACTGCAGGGAGACCACAGTGGAGGAACTTAAAGTAGCCAAGAGCAGAGAGTGATGAGTACATGCCTGAGTACCGCCCCGCTCACATTCTCCACTCTCATACAATTTAAGACCTAAACCCAAAGAGCTGTGTTGTCCACTTTCAGGCTGATTCTATCCAGTAGCTATAATTAAGGCAGTCCTCCACAGACTAACTGGATCTAGACAGTCCCTCATGGAGACTCTCTTCTTGGGTTGTGTCAAGTTGACAATTAAAACTAAGCATCACTATCCCTAACTATGAATAATTTACCTTCCATGACAAAATATATAAATTGCTGTTGGTTGTTTTTACTCTTTACTCTTTGGGGGCCCACCACCCAGCTCCCACATAAATACATATGGAGACTTATTATTACTTATAAATGCCCGGCCTTAGCTTGGCTTATTTCTAGCCAGCTTTTCTTAAATTATCCCATCTACCTTTTGCCTCTGGGCTTTTACCTTTCTCTGTTTCTGTATATCTTTTCTTAACTTCTTATTTTGTGTCTGGCTGTGTAGTGGGGTGACTGGGTGACTGGCCCCTTCTTTTCTCATTCCTTGATCTTCTCCTCCCAGATTTCTCCTCCTATTTATTCTCTCTGCCTGCTAGCCCGGCCTATCCTGTCTCCTGCCTTGCTATTGGCTATACAGGTCTTTATTAGACCATCAGGTGTTTTAGACAGGCACAGTAACACAACTTCACAGAGTTAAACTAATGCAACAATAAATAATATGTTTTTAAATAAAAAATATGTATCATACTGGTGTGAGCTTTTAGAACAGTGGTTCTGAACTCATGCCTTCTGAGTGTGGAGTGGATAAATCTTCGCTTTCAGGTCTACCCTCTACATATAGGTCTGCAATCCTTTTGCTTACTAGGTGCCTCTCAAGCCCTCAACCACAATTAGAATAATCAAAGCTGTCTTTGGACATTACTAAATGTCTCCTGGGAGGAAAACTTACCCTGACTTGAAAATACTCCTAGTTGTGTCTGGGAAGAGTAGTGTCATTTGAGCTTCTGACAGAAAACAGGACTGGCATAGACCGAATGTAGGCCATGGAGAAGGGCGTTCAGGAACTAACCAACCAACACAAGAAGTGTGAACAAAGAATAGAAAAGGTGAAGCCAGAGAGCTGGCTCCGCAGTTAAGAGCACTTGTTGTTTTTGTGGAGAACTCCGGTTCAAGTCCCAGCACCCACACAGTGGCTCACAACCATCCACAGCTCCAGTTGCAGTGGATCTGGTGCCCTTTTGATAAGGACACCAGGTGAGCATGTAATGCATAGATATACCTGCAACCAAGACATTTCCAAACAAAAAATAAATAGAAATTTAAAAATTCTTTAAAAGAATAGAAAAGTAAAATTAAGTTTCTCTTTATGCCTTTCCTGAAGCTTCTACCTAAAGAACTAGAGAGAAAACAAATGAAAGTCCTAACTGTGGGGAAAGATAAAATAGAAATGCCAATCTATTCAGTGATTTAATTGTTTCTTAAAATGTAAGATCTACTAAAAGCAAAAAATTAATCTTCCTCCCATGGCTTCAACTTTGCTATGCACTGTGTGGACAGTGTGGTACTATTCTGAGAAATACAAATAATCTCTCCCTATAATTGATATAATTATTATGAACACCATCATTCCCAAGAGCTTTCCAGAAGGTAATACTAAAAATGTAACACAAAGGTTGGGAGCATCTCCATGACCACACATCAAGAAAATGAACAAAATAAAGCAAAGCCTCACAGTAATGCTTGGGATCTTATAACATCAGAGTAATGCCTGGAATCTTACAGCCTTACAGTAGTGCTTGGGATCTTACAGCATCAGAGTAATGCTTGGGATCTTACAGCATCGGAGTAATGCTTGGGATCTTACAGCCTCACAGTAGTGCTTGGGATCTTACAGCCTCACAGTAGTGCTTGGGATCTTACAGCCTCACAGTAGTGCTTGGGATCTTACAGCCTCACAGTAGTGCTTGGGATCTTACAGCCTCACAGTAGTGCTTGGGATCTTACAGCCTTACAGTAGTGCTTGGGATCTTACAGCCTCACAGTAGTGCTTGGGATCTTACAGCCTCACAGCAATGCTCAGGATCCTTTGATGTATGTAAACAGCAGCCAGCATCTTTTAAACTTCCTTTTCCAGGTACTATGCTGTGTTTTACATGGAATAGCTTGCTTAAATACAGGAATAACCCGTTTCTAGAAGCAAAATCTGGTTCCCAGAGAGGTTAGCTAACTTTCCCCGAGTCACATGACTGGCAGTTGTCAGAGCAGCATTCTAACCATGGCAACCTGACCATGTAGGGGCTTTGGTCTAGGAGATGTCTCTAAAAACCATGAGGTTATTTAATAAACTCTTTAAGCCTCAGTTTCCTCATCTTTAAAAGGAAGATTCTATTACCTACCCCACAGAATTAAATGAATGCATGTATTAAAATTCTTAGAAAAGGGCTTGTCACAAAGTAAGTACTCAAAATGTTAGCCATTGCCTTCATAACTCCTGCAGCCACGGCTACACACTCAAAAGGAAACGAAAAGTCCCCACAACTTAGTCTGTGGTTTTGGTTTGGTTTGACTGACTTCCTCTCTTTGGGGGGGGATGTCACTGTTAGTTCTTGCCTTTAATGTATTGTTTTAGAGGGGAATGGGGGAGTCATCCATTCCACACCCTTTCCTCAGCAAACAGTGCCTCCAGCCTGTATGATGTGAGCTGTAGTAACTCACTCACCCTGGGGAGTCCAGGGAAGGCCTTCCCGCCCCTTCAGTGGTATGCTAACTGAAGCATACTCTCCTGGGCCTTCCTTGCCTTTGCCTGGAGGAAACATGGCGCTTTCTGTGAAAAGCTAAGAATGCAGTTTTTTTTTGTTTTG